AAAAAAAAAAAAAAAAAAAAGCCCTTAGGAAAACTGGCCAGATACCCACCTGTAACATTTCCTGATCTGTGGTAAGTAACAATGGTCACTTGCTAACGGGTCCAGGAATCGAAATGTGCTTGGGGGCCTCGAAAAGAGGAATTTACCCACTGCATAGAGGTATCTTATGGCACAAATGAAACCTGGGCTCATGAAAGGCTTTCAAGAAAGTCCAGCCTGAGATTCCTTATAAAAGGTTCCAGCAAAGCCAATTTTAAAGGAAAGAAGTGCCTAGATGGTTAACAATTAATTATTCTTACTGCGCTTTATGCAAATAATCAGTATACTGAAGGTACAGTTTATTTTGGCAACTGAGTTGGTTCTGCTATAATTTGTCTTTAGTAAAGAGAGAAATTGGAGAGAGAAAAATGATTCAAAGAGAAAAGAGGCTATGACAAGGCTATTAAATCCCAGCCTTGTCTGTACTGTCAGCTCAGAAAATGAAACATAACTGTTTTACTAAGTTAATCTGTTAAATGGGACTTAAGAGACTGGCCAAAGAGTATAGAATTATATATAGTAGTTATATTTACTCTAAAGCCTTAAGACTCAACAAAGGTCGCCAATTGGCTACACTGGAAAAATTTGTGCAGTGTTAAATGTTATCTACTGTGTCTATATAGATACTTCAGGAAAAATTAAAACCTAAAATGAGAATTTCCCAGTAAATGGTGTAACTGTAACACTGCATCCTACTGTGCCTAATCTGTATACTCTGCTGAGTCTGCTGCCAGCAGAAGCCAAGTGGCTTACTTGCCTGGACTAAAGAGATGAGTTTCTCAGTATAAGGCTGGCTCTGGGTAGCCAGAGGCTGTTTGTTTTTCCAGTGGGAAAGACCAGACACGGAAACTGTGATCCAGTACACATGGTCCAGGTTGCCATAGGGTTCAAAACACCCACAATTTTTGAAGAAGCACTGGCTCATGATCTCCAGCTGAGGAATTAGAATATGTGCTGTTCCAGTATGTCAGTGACCTCCTTTCAGGGCAACCAACCCAGGAGGCCTGCACCCAAGGCATGGACTGTCTTTTATGACATCTAGAGGTATGTGGCTATAAATTGTTCAAACGAAAGGCCTAGATTTGCCAACAGCAAGTATGTTATCTAGGATTTACTGTCCAGCAGGGGTAGAGGTATCTAGGCATGAAATGGAGGCAAGTCATTAAATTGCCTCCTTACCCCCATGAGCCAAAAGCAGGTTTGGGAATTCTTAGGTGCAGTCAACTTTTGTTGTCTTTGGATCCCCCACTTAGCTGTCTTGGCTAAGCCCTTGTATGAGGCAACTAAAGGAGGAAAACAGTAACATGCCTTCTCCCAGCTAAGGATGAGACTGATAAATGCACCTGCACCGGGGCTACCAGACTTGGCCAAGCCCTTCCCTCTGTATATCTCAGAGAGAGGAAAGATGTCTGTAGGTGTGTTAACCCAGCTGGTTGGGTCCTGGCCAAGACCTGTAGCTTACCTCTCTAAGCAGTTGGATGGAGTGGTAAAAAGATGGCCACTCTGCTTAGGGGCTTTAGCCGCTGCGGCTCTCCTTGTGCAAGAAGCTGATAAGCTGACTCTAGGGCAGAATCTCAGAGTGAAAGTACCCCACTCTGTGGTCACTTTAATGGACACTAAAGGACACTTTTGGCTCTCTAATGTAAGAACACCCTGAACCGAGCCACGCTTCTTCCAGTCAGTGGAAGAGAGACTGAGCATGACTATATAGAAGTTATAGATAATGTGTATTCTAGCAGACCTGACTTGCATGACCAGCCTTGGACATTTGCAAACTGGGACTTGTATGTAGACTGAAGCAGTTGCATGACAGTGCAAGGTGAGCGGCAAGCTGGGTATGCAGTGGTTACCTTAACAGAGACTGTAGAGGCTAAGTCCCTACCCCAAGGAACGTTGACTCAGAAGGCTGAGTTAATTGCCTTGACTTGAGCCTTAGAACTAAGTCAAGGGAAAAATGTGAATGCTTTTCTGACTCTCCAAGTACATGGGGCATTGTACAAGGAGAAGGGACTATTAAATTCTGGGGGAAAGGACATTAAGTAACAGCAGAAGATACTTCAGTTGCTAGAAACCCTGGAAGGTGGCAGTGATGCACTGTCATGAACATCAAGGAGATGTTTCCACCTTCACTAAAGGGAACACTAGGATCGGTATGGAGGCAAAAAGGACTGCATCCAAACTGAGTGGCTCCCCTCATCCTGTGGGTTCTGGAGCTCTCACCTATCTACTCCCAGGAAGGGAAGAAACAGTTGGCAGAGGAGAGGAGCCAGGAAATGGAAGGAGAATGGATAAAGATGGCAGATGGACAAGTAGCAGTCCCCCAGGTTCTAGGAGCCACCATGGTGACAGGAGTATTTGATGAAGTTGGTGGGCCAGTACCTCTACATCTCCCACCTGGCAGCCCTGGCCAAAACTGTCAGTCAATGGTGTGTCACCTGCAGCCAGTTTAGCGCTTGCCAAGGACTGACGGTACCCCCAGGAATCCAGTCGTATGGAGCAGCGCCCTTCGAGGACTTCCAGGTAGACTTTACTAAAATGCCCAGGTTTAGAGGGAACAAGTACTTGCTGGTGATTGTCTTTCAGACTTGGAATAGGTAAAAGCCTTTCCCTCCAGGATAAAAAAGACTCCTGAAGTAGCAAAAGTATTGCCCAGGGAAATCTTCCCATGGTTTAGGTTGCCACTCTGGGAAAGACTGAACTGAATAGACAAAAACCCTAGAAAAAGTAGCAAAGAAAATCTCCACTGGGTAATTATGTTCTGTTTAGTCTTTTGTGTCTGTACACCCTTTCTCTCTGAAGAATCAAGGGGACCAAGTCTAGGTCCAGAATCAGAATCTGGTCCCCCTGAAACCAAGGTAGAAAGGACTTTACACCATCATCCTGACCACATGCAAGCAGCAAAGGTAAAAGGAATACTCATCTGGAGTCATCACAGCTGGCTGAATAGGGCTTCACTGGCCCTTGGAAAGTAAAGGTAACTTTGAAGATAGTCAGCATGCTCTGCTCCAGCCACACACGGGGAGCTGGCTGGTCAGCGCACGGCTGAAGCCTGAGGAAACTCCTCGAGGGACTTGTCTGTCTTAATTGGACTTTGGACTTTGGGAAAAGACAGGGGGTGGGGGGGGGGTGTCACAGGGAAAAGTAAAATCTTGCATGTATATTAGCCCACCACCACGGTACTATTAAGACCTGAGTAGAGAACCCAAGAAGAGTCACAGTCCCTGAAACCTCAGTGCTAAAAAGTAATTAATATTGGCACCTGCAGAAACAAACTGATATTGAGACCCCAAATTAAAATATATTGGAGTGTCAAAAGGAGGGAATGAAGAGAGGATACCCAAGAAAGGTGAGGTCTAGGAGAACAGGTCTTCTCAAGAAGACCACAAGGAAACACCTACTAGTCCTCTCCATGGTGACTCAGCTCTTAGGAATTTATAAACTTAACTTCCTGTAACTTGGAAATTTCCGAGTTCTGTGAAATCCTGTAATTCTATAGGGTCTGGAATAGCATCTCCCGCTTGATTCAAACTGGCCAATGAGAGGAGTACCTGTGGAATGGAACTTTTTGACTATGAATAAAAAGAGAAAGACCAAGCCAGTCTTGGAGCGAGGCCATTTGGAATTCTTCTATGCTGTAAGCTCCTGGCTGGTGAATAAAGCCCTTCTTCCTCTTAGAAAGGTGGTGTTTGGGAGCTCTTTCTCTCCATTGGGCCTCATCTTCCTGCAACAGTAGGGAACTCCACAGCCCCTCTTTATTAGACTCCAAAACAAATATTTTGTTTGTGGCGTTCATAGGAGCTGTTGTGATTCACATAATGGGGATTTGGATGGGAAGTGCTCAGTCTTGGAGCCACCAGACCAGTGGTGGGGATGCAAACGATTATTTACTGCACAGATGAGCTTATCCTTCAGTCTTCATTTTTATACCATGGTTTGAGAAATAACCAGTTCTTTAAACTGGGAAATGTGTTTTATGCTTGTTGTAGGGCAAGTTTGATTTTGCATGACCATTTTCCAGATGGTGTGTTCTACATTCTGTAAGCTACGATTCAGTCATCATTCGAGTTAAGGGAGAACCAGATGTTCTAGTATTCTTTAGCCCATTATTTCCATTGTCAGTAACTTTTCTCTTATCCTAACAGTTCCATCTCTTGTGGCTTTTTCTCTTTGGCTGTCTTCTCTTTTCTGCTTCTGGGGGCTTTTATTGTGCTTGGTTAGGTTTCTGTTTTGGGGAGGGAGGCATCGGTTGCCATGTCATGGAACACTGGAGAGATGCAGAGGTTAATTCATGAAAGGTCATTAAGAGCTATCAGCAAGATATTTGATGACCTAAGGGTTAAGGGTAAAGGGCAGCTTAATTTAGGAGTTTGAGTACTTTATAACTTCTAAAGAAAGCTAGACTTTGGGAAAAGTAAAGATTTACAGTTTCGAATGGCTGTTCTCAGTTTTAGCAAGATTAAGTTATATCTTATCTAAAAATGGAATTTAGATAATAACGCCTTTTCAAGCCAAGACATTTTTCCTGCTTGTTTCACTGTGTTCTTATACATGATCTTGAGAGTATATTAGCTATTTATAGGGGGTTTTTTTGGCTTTTTATTATTTGAAAAAGTTAAGCTTAAATATCAAAGTAAAATGTTTATTCTGTAAAGTTCTTTTTTGTTTAATTAGGTATTTGGTGACCAATTAATCTGTCTGGTTGAACTGGTAGAATCAAATCAGTAAGTTTGTGAATAGTTGGCTGTTTCTAACCAGGGTATTAAGATTGGTTGAATGTTCATAAAGGATTAATGAGACAAGACCTTTTACGTAGGTAGCTTAAGGAATCAGAGTTCAGGCCTAAAGGGCAGGGCATCTAATCTCAGCTCTGCCTGAACACTTGCTCTGTGACCTGAGGCAAAAAAGACTTCACTCTATTCCTCAAAATCACCCCCCCCCCATGGTGATGTGGCTTGCTCTTGCTTACCTGCCTGATAGGGTTATTGTGAGGATAACCAGTAAGTCATTAGAAAGTTCCTTCCCAGGCAGATGCTTAGGAGTTACTGTGTACATAAATTAAAAGACTTAGTCAAGAAGCTTTAAGAAATAAAATCTTAACAACTTTTGAGGAGCTAAATATGTAGTATTTAACTTTTTGTATTTGCCATTAGTTATGTAAAATTGACTTATAAAATTGGAAAGATACCTGTATTGTCTGAGTAAATACTTTGCACCAAACTGGTATAGCAGTGTAAGTTAAATTTTGTGATTAATTCAGTACCATGTATTTATGTCCACTGCATATCAGAGATCTGTTCGTAGCTTAAGCAAGGACTTTAACATAGCTTCTGAATACATATGCAAAGGAACTTGTCTGATATTTTCCTTCTAGGATTTTGTTGTTTTGCTCTGACATGGATATTTCCATCTAGATAATCGTCCTGGGAACCCCTGCAGAAGAAGATGGTGGTGGCAAAATTGATCTAATTGAAGCAGGGGCTTTTAAAAATCTTGACATTGTTTTTATGGCCCATCCATCCCAAGAGAATGCTGCTTATCTACCAGATATAGCGGAACATGAGTAAGTGATCAGTTGAAGATAAACTTCTTAGAAGGAAGCAGATTATAGAATACTTTTTATGTCTAAACCAGAGACTTGACACCCCACATTTATGCATTTAAAAAGCAAATTGAAAGATAATGGTAGGATGTCTTTTTTTTTTTTCTTTTTTTTTTTTTTTTGAGACATGGTCTCAAGCTGTCACCCTGGGTAGAGTGCTGTGCCATCACAGCTCACAACAACCTCAAACTCTTGGACTTAAGTGATTCTCTTGCCTCAGCCTCCCAAGTAGCTGGGACTACAGGTACCCATCACAACACCCAGCTATTTTTTGGTTGTAGTTGTCATTGCTGTTTGGCAGTCTCAGGCTGGATTCGAACCTGCCAGCTCTGGTATAAGCGGCTGGCACCCTAGCTGCTAAGCTACAGGCACCGAACCAATGGTAGGATGTCTTGATTTCCATTGGATGACATTTGACAAACCTCTTCTAATTGAGATTTATTGTAGTGTTTATAATTGGAGTATTAAAATACATGGGGTCCCAACAGTTGCCATACATAATAGGGAAAATAGGAAATTATAGCTAAATGTACCTTTATTTACAAAATATTCAGAACAAAATTTTACAAAACACAGTAGAACCTCTAAGTTGATCATCCTTGGGACTATAACATGTCAACATACAGAGGTGGTCAACAGAAGGAACTGGCCTACTGTACTAATCCAGACTTGAATGGTCTGTGAAGATTAGCTTAACTTAAGGAGGGGGGCGACGTAGGGAGTATCCTCTACAGTATCCTCTACGTGTTGACCACCTCTTTTTTCAGTTTCAGATTAATATGAGGGTACAAATGATTAGGTGACAGTGTCTGTGTTTGTTCAGTAAGGTCCCCTTTGTTGACCACCTTTCCCAGTCATGGTGAACATGTTACAAGATAGCCATCGTCAATGCAGTTTTTCCTAAGTGTGGTGACTTTCAGAACAGACTATAGTAGCACCTATTAGCATAGGAATAGTGAACAGAACATGTTGACACTTAAGTTTTGTTTTGAATTATCTGAAAGTGATCTGATTTCTGGAAAACATCTACCCATTGTCTTTAACAGATAATTCTGTTACCTTTGGAAAGAAAACAACACTTTTCCATTTTATTTATTTTGAGTTCTCTGCAGAGGGGATAAATTACCTCCTGAGAGAGAACCAAAAATCTGAAAATCTATGGATTTTAGTGGAACTTGTCAGTGTATGCTTTTCAGAATTGTCTGGTACTGCAGCCTTTTATCTTTCTCTGCACTGAAGGGCTCACTTTTTTCAGTATTTGGGAGCATGCCTCATTGAAGTGATTTGAATTCTTTTTTTGCAGATTTTTGGCTGGGACTGGGTTTGAACCCACCACCTCTGGTATATGGGGCCGGCACCCTACTCCTTTGAGCCACAGGTGCCACCGGTGATTTGAATTCTTTACATAAGAAATTTTGACCATAGTTATGGTCACAAGGAGCCACTGCACAGCTGTATCCAGAAAACTGTATGTTCTCTGAGGTAGCTGGGTACCTCGGGATGGTGGTGGAACCACCCAGCAGTATTTCTGGGTTGTGTTCCGGTATCTCACCTCTCAGCAGCCTCCTGAGCCTTGTTTTCTGAGGGTGATATCTTAACTATTCTGGAATCCCTACTGTGACAGGGACAGGAGGTGTCTCTCTCTGGCTGGATGGGGCCTGTTTTCTGAGGGTGATATCTTAACTATTCTGGAATCCCTACTGTGACAGGGACAAGAGGTGTCTCTCTCTGGCTGGATGGGGCCTGCACCTCTAGGCAGACTTCCCAGCTCATTAGCCTTCTTGGACTGTCTGCATTCTAAAGGTAGCCAGGCCTCTTCTTAGTGTCTGACTTAGCTTTTTCTTTGGTCATCTTTTAAGATGGAAAAGAGAGCAAGATCAAGGATTTAATTTTTAAGAAACTACTAATCCATTGATCTTAAAATTGTTTTTTCCTGTTCTCTTTTCTTCTTCCTTTCCTTTCCTTTTCCTTCCTTTTCTTTCCTTTCTTCTTTTCCTTGCTTTTTTTTCTTTCCCCCTTTTTAGACATGATCTTGCTTTATCACCTGGGCTATGGTGCAGTGGCATCACCATACCTTACTGTAACCTCAGACTCTTGGGCTCAAGTCAATCCGTCTGCCTCAGCCTCTGGAGTAGCTAGTGCTACAAGGATGCATCACTATACCCAGCTAAGTGCGGTATTTTTTGTAAAGACAGAGTCTTGGTATGTTGTTCAAGCAGTCTTCCCACCTTGGCCTCCCAAAGTGCTTGGCTCATATCTTAAAATGTTATAATTTTGGATGCTTTTACTTGTTTTTGTTGTGGTAGTAGAATGTTTAGACTCAGTTAAAAAAAAATACCCTTAGCATTCTCAGGAGTCCTGAATCTAGCCCATTAAAAACAATCAGAGTGGCTTTCTATTAATCTAAATGTGAGTACTGTTAATTAGGTTTAAAAAGTGTCTAAAGCTTGGTGCCGTAGCACTGTGGTTACAGCACTGGCCACATACACCAAGGCTGGCGGTTTGAACCCAGCCCAGGCCAGCTAAGCAACAATGACAACTACAACAAAAAATAGCTGGGCGTTGTGGCGGGCACCTGTAGTCCTCGTTACTTGGGATGCTGAGGCAAGAGAATCACTTAAGCCCAAGATTTTGAGGTTGCTGTGAGCTGGGACACCACAGCTCTCTACTGAGGGCAACAAAGTGAAACTCTGTCTCAAAAAAAAAAAAAAGTGCCCTCTAAGCAAGTCAGTTACGGAGCTTCATAAGAAACTGTTTAATATGCAGACAGCCCTCGTCAGTATTTTAGAACATTAATAAAATATCGGTCAGGGCTCAGTGCCTGTGGCTCAAACAGCCAAGCTGCCAGCCATATATACCTGAGCTGGCAGGTTCAAATCCAGCCTGGGCCTGCCAAACAACAATGATGGTTGCAACCAAAAAAAGCTAGGCTTTGTAGTGGGCGCTTTTAGTCCCAGCTACTTGGGAGGTAAAGACAGGAGAATCGCTTGAGCCTAGGAGTTGGAGGTTGCTGTGAGCTATGATGCCACAGCACTCTACCCAGGGTGACAGCTTGAGACTCTGTCTCAAAAAAAATACTGGTCAGGAACAACTGACTTAATACTAGGATCCTATGGTAGCATTGCGAATATAACCTGATTTTCATAGGTTGTCTTAACCTAATTCAAGTATTATCTGCTATTATGCCTGACCTTCTCCTTCCTAAGATGGAATTTCTGAGCTTGTACAGACCTTTGATATAGAACTGTCACAATGCGATGTGAAAAGAAATAGGAGGTTTTTTGTTTTGTTTTGTTTTTTTGTAATTCCAGCACCTAATGTGTATTTATTTGAATTAAATTGTGTACACATTTAGGCCAGAGTGGTGGCTCAGGCCTATAAAACCCTAATGTTTTCGGAGACCAAGGTGGGAGGATTGCTTGAGCTCAGGAGTTTGAGGCCAGCCTAAGCAAGAGCAAGATCCCCTCTCTCCAAAACAAACAAACAAAAAAATTGCCTGGTATAGTGGCACATGCCTATAGTCCTAGCTACTTGGGAGGCTGAGGCTCCCTTGATCCCAGGTGTTACAGGGAGCTATGATTGCACCAACTCTAGCCTGGATGACAGAACAAGACCCTATCTTAAAAAATAATTATGCTTGAATTTAATCTGTGCAGGAGATTGATTGAGCCAAGTTCACTTTTTCTCCTTTTTTGGAATATTTCTTTGTGTCAGGTACTGTGTTACGTAATAATAAACTGTAGCTAAAGTAAGTAAATTACAGTGTTATTACTACAAATAATGTGCCAATCAAAAGTCTAGCAACATGAATTAATTTTGAATAGTAGTTGGATAATTTTAATTACTTTGTTTTCTTATTTTAGTGTTTTGGGGAAACATAGTCACAAATGGATTTTTATTTCTTAGTGTGACTGTGAAATATTATGGAAAAGCGTCTCATGCTGCTGCTTATCCCTGGGAGGGAGTAAATGCGTTAGACGCTGCCGTTCTGGCCTACACCAATCTGTCCACATTAAGACAGCAGATGAAACCCACCTGGAGAGTTCATGGTGAGAATGTGCTTAATATATTCCAGTGCAATATAATTCTTTAATATTTGATTTGTAAAAAAACATTTAGAATCATTTTATGTACTTAACATGAATATTTTTAAAATGTGACACATTTGCAGAAATTCATGTGATAGAACCTAGGATATAGGTAGGTAGGAACTTTGTCTGCAGGTGGGTATGAAGATAATTTCACTTACTGTACATAAATGGAATGGTCGTCTTTGAGTAACAAAGATAAAGGTTTTATGTAAGAAACTACATTCTTTATGTGGGTATTTGAAAATTGGAACTTGATAACAAAATTTTGTCACATCTATTTAAAGTAATGACTGCTGGTTTAATTTACTCAGATGCCCAATATTTTATATACATTATATTTTATATAATATGTATCATATATTATATATGTTACATATATTTATATATAATCCTGCCTGATATTTTTTACAGTTACATGCATTATTGTGTGTACAGTCATAAAGTATAATCTTTAAGGCACACATTTATTTTTTAGTTTATTTCCTTTTAATTTAGGAAATTGTAATACTTGAGTATCTCTTTTTTTGGCCAGGGCTGGGTTTGAACCTACCACCTCTGGCTTATGGGACCAACGCCCTACCCTTTTGAGCCATAGGTGCCGCCTCCTGAAGATTCTTTTTTTTTGCAGTTTTTGGCCAGGGCTAGGTTTGAACCTACCACCTCCGGATATGGGACCAGCACCCTACTCGCTGAGCCATAGGGACCACCCTTGAGTATCTCTTTCTTTACCTGGTTTTGCTATAGGAAAAAGTCAGTTTGTAATTGCAAAAAAGTTACCAGTTTTGCTGTCTTAGTTGCTTTAAAATGAACAAACAGGAATATTGTGAGCCACATGAGACTAGATTTTGTGTATCTATACACTCAAAGCAGAGTGGGTGAACCTCTCTCTGTTCTGTATGTTGATAGTACTTAGTGGCCCTTGACCTAGTTTCTTCTTGGCATGAAAATTATTTCCCATTTGTGAAATGTGGATAATTAAAAATGGCAATATGGGAGACTTTCTGTATTTGTGGGTTTCCCATGGTGGATTCAACCAACTACAGATGGAAAATATTTGGAAAAAACAGTAACAATAATAATACAATAATAAAATAATACAACTAAAAACAATGTGGTTTAACAACTATTTATATGGTATTTATATTAGGTATTGTAAACAACAACAACAAAAAAAAGAAAATGATTTCCCTAGAGCTAAATGCCATTTAAAATATTCATGAGATTCTTGAGGTACAAGCATAGTTGTAGAACCTCCTATCATTAGTTTTTTTTTCTTTTTTCGTGTCAAAAGTTTATCAAAATGTACAACTGCAGTAGAGCCTCCTGAAACAAAAATTTTCCAGAAAGCTAAGTCTATTTTTTTGTAGTTATATGATTTCTACCTGTTTCTTTATAATCTGGATCATACTTTCTTAACATTATTATAAATTCCTTTGAATAAAGTACATATTATTTTATTTTTCTCCTGTTAGCCAGAAAGTATCACCCTGTGTATGTTGTACAGCATATCAAAACCTTTGATTGGTATATTGGTGAAGCTAGTAAATTTAAATTATTTTTCTTTGTGTATATATTGGCTGAATAACTTAACAAGTATATTTAAGCTAAAAGAACTGTTCACCAAGCTTAATTTCAGTAATTTGGTTTTTTTTATAGGTGTAATAAAAAATGGTGGTGTAAAACCCAATATCATTCCCTCTTATTCTGAATTAATCTATTACTTCCGTGCCCCCTCGATGAAAGAGCTTCAAGTTTTGACCAAAAAGGCAGAAGATTGCTTCAGAGCTGCAGCTTTGGCCACGGGGTGCACAGTAAGAAGTCTAAGGGTGACCTAAGCTATGATTAGAGGGGTTTAGACTGTGTTGGGGCTGGGGCTGTTTAATGAAGTTAGATTGAAGCCTGACTTGGCCTTTGATTTGGTGGTATCTTAAACATGTAGAATGAATTATCCAAATGGTTACTATGAATTAATTTTTACACATTTTACTGAATGTGTGCAGTAAAGAAGACTATAGATCTCGGTTGAAATAGTTCTCATATCCTTCCTCATTGGCATTTATGCTTTTAGAATTGCCTTATATGGCTCAGCGCCTGTGGCTCAAGCGGCTAAGGCACCAGCCACATACACCTAAGGTGGCGGGTT